CGGGGATCCCTGGACACACTTTGGGTACTGTTGCTCTATAATTTACAATATGGATCTTTAACTTACCAGTCTACCTTCAAATAATATACCACTTAACATATAATGTAAGGCCCTAACAACAGTATACTTCCAAATCCCCATTCTGTTTTTTGTGCTATTGTTTTTGTCTATTATACATATACATTTATCTTAATCCTTTCAGTACCTTATTAGTTTTACTTTAAACAGTCAGTTATCTTTTAAAGACATTTTTTGAATAAGAAAAATAGTCTTTTACATTTACTCACATATTTGTCATTTCCAGTGTTCTTGATTCTGTTCTGTCCGGTATTTTCTTTTCTTGATGAACTCCTTTTAGTTTCTTATAATACACATCTGGTGGTAAAGTCTCTCTGCTTTTGTTTATTTACTAACTTCTTTTGCACTTATTCAAAAAAACTTTATTTTGAAAAATTAAAGACTCGTAAACTCATAAGAAGTTTCAAGGCTCATCTCAGTTGTTTCCTTTCCCTCAGGAATCACATAGTTCTGAGTAGTCTTTAAACAGTTGTTTTATATATTTTGCCCAGTTTCTAGTTGCTTGTAATAGGAGGTAAGCCCATTCATCTCTCTGCTTTGATTTTTATTGAAGATCAGAAGCAGTAATAGTTACGTAAATTCTTATTCTGCATTCTTATTGAAGATCAGAAGCAGTGATAGTTACGTAAATTCTTATTCTGCATTCTTATTCTGAATGTCCTCATTACTGTTGAGGACATTCATCTGTCACTCAATATCCTATATAGTATACCACTTCAGAAGTGAGTTATATAATAATTCATGTTTCTTTTGCTTTTTGCCTTGTCTGCAAGGAAAATCAGACAAGATTTATGCGAGATCATTGCAGTTTTGTTGACCTAGAGGTGACACATTTAAATTCTTGCTTTCAATTTAATGTTTGTTTTTTTTTTCTTTTTATTACAATTAAACTATAAAAACAGTAGCCTATACCCCTAGGGCACACTTTTTTCTTTCCTTCCCTCTCTTCATTACCTTCCCTGTATTCAGTATTTTTTTTTTTTTTTTTTTTTTTTTTTTTGTTTGGCATAGAGAACAAAGGTTTTCTTGGAAATTTTTTTTGATTGCATGGCATAGAGACACAGTGATTGCCTTTAAGTAACTGAGTTTAAGGATTTACAGGAAGAAAATGAAAATTTAATGCTCAGCAACATAGCCTGGCTTCAGTAAAAAGAATCAACCATAGAGCCAGGGCCCCTCAGAAACGGATGCCTTTGTTCCTTATTCGGGTTTTCCCTGCTGATTTAGTGCTTCTCTCGCTCTCTGTGAGCATTCTCAGATGTCTGTTCTAGATCCCTACCTGTGTGCTCTTTTCTTGTCCTCATTACTAAAGCTCACATAAACATTCCAAAAGAGAGTATCCGATTGATTAACTTAATGATCTTTTGGTGCCAGGCCAGCTCTTAGGTCATTAGCCAGCTGAGATTCTCTGTTCTTGGTTCATGTGGTACAAAGTATGGTGCCATATAAAAACCTCAGAAGGGCCAGTGGCATAGCAAGCACTCAACATTGTTATTCCTCCTCCTTTGTAACAATTAATTTACTTTTAACTTATTAAGGACAGTTATTAGTCTGGATTTTCCCTCCCCTCCCCTAAACCAGTCAGCTCATATTCATAGATTAAGGTTTAGATGAATTGCTGATCTCATTCCTGAAATGCTGAGGGCTTTTTCCTCTTAATTTCATTCTTAGGTGAATTTCATTCTTAGCCAAAAAACAAAGGACAGTCTTCACCACCATTTAGCCACAACTTAAAATAAACCCATGGTACTGATTGTTGGTCCAAGAAATCCCATCTGTTAGAGACTATGAAAGGAAGAGAAAATTGAAAACAAAAAAATTTTCCATTCTTGTTAACATCTCTAAATTTGGAGGAAGAAGAGATTGAAACTATGAGCTGAAACAAGGCTTTTGGATTATTAGCCCCACGTGAGTTTGAATCCTGGTTGATAGATGAGTATCTTTTAAAAGCTTCCATTTACTCATGAATAAAATGGAGATTATGGTATTTGCCTCTTGTGGTCATTAGGATTAAATGATAGGATACATGCAAAGCAGTTAGCAAAGTACCTGGCACGTAATAAATACTTGATAAATGTTAGCTCCCATTATTTCTATATCATTGTGTTATTAACAATAAAGGTTACCATAGTCCATCAGAAAGTCTTAGTGCTAATTTTGGTGCATGAGCAGAGACCTAATTATTGAGCCTGTGTCAGGTACCAGCTGGGTACATAAGAGACATATTGTGTTATATTTCTTGCTTTCTAATCCGCACTGTGAAACGTCAGTCCCAGAAAATTTTTAAGGACACTCAACCCATGATGTTGTTGGAATTAGAGCTCTATCACTAGCTGTGTGACCTTAGACAAATTACTTCTCTATGCCTCAGTTTCTTCTTCTGTAAATGGGGAAAATACCACTTGAGATAGTTATAAGGAATATAAATGAGTTAATATATGTAAAGTACATACGACAGTGCTTGATAATATGGCAAGTGCTGTAAGTTGCTGCTGCTAGACTATGATTTCTAGCCGTGTAACACTTGACACCTCCTTGGGCCTAATTGACCAGTGTTTTTCTTCTTTCAGTTTAAAAGTGAATAGGCTTCTTTGTAGGAAATTTATAGTATACCTTTAGTGTCTGTCATCAGGGTAATTTTATAGAATCTAGGTGTTAAGAGATGAGTGAGCTGAAGGACATGGTCTGTAGACAGTCTTGTTTCATTCTGAGATTGGACACCAGAATTTCCATATCTCTTCAGCCTCCTTTGGTGATGCTTTGGCAGGAAAATTGTATCTTGAAATTCTTACAAAGCTGATTTTTTTTCTCCCACTGAAAATGTCCTTTTGTGGAGGCTAGACAGAATGGGGTGCTAGTGATGTGAAAGTAGGGTATAGGAAAGGCAATTTGAATCAAGACCTTTGATTTTAGCCAAACAAATCTAGCAGGCAAGAGATTTTCTAATCAAAAGCTGTAAAAGAGGAAATCCATTTCTGATTTATATTTCCTTATCCAGAAATGAGATTAATATGTTTTCTTTCCATATTGGTGAGATTAAATATCTTTTCATAATGTTTAGTAATCACTTGTATTACTTTTATGAATGCCTATTCATGTCCTTGACCTGTTTTGTTTTATGAGGAGACTTACCTTTGCCAAATATCTTTCAGATATATTTTTCACTTTGTCAGTTGTCTTCTTTTATCCTTGGTTGTGCTTTTTTATTTTAAGTGCTCAGAAACTTTTAATGTAATGAACCTATTAAGTTTTTTCTGAAAAGTATCATGTCATGGTTAAAGAGAGAATTTCTGCTAAGTGCTACTGAGTGTCATAATTTATGTGTAGACCAGTCCATTTAATAAGCACAAATAGGTGATTGATTGTCATAGGATTTGAAGACTCACTGCAAACTAACATAGGCCTGAGACTGTAACATTGCTATAATAACCACCACTTACTATACACTAGCTGTATGCCAAGGCAATATGCTAGGTCTTTTATGTGCTATGTTCCTCAACTTGAAGCTAAATATTACAGTCCACGTTTCCTAGATGAGTAAAGCGGGACTAGAAGTGAAATGATTTACCTAAGGTCAAAGAGCTAAGTTCGTGGTTCTCTTGGAATTTTAACTCAGGTCTGCCTAACTCCCAAAGTATATACTTTTTCTACAAAGCTCAGCTCCTTGAGGTTCAAATAAATTAAATTGGTCTTAAAGAGTTAAGTAAATATTTTTTGCCAGAACTTGAAAACACGGTCTGTATCCTAGTTAGCATGCTCTTGGTTCCTAGAGCAAAGTAGATGAGGTAATAAGAAATATATAAACTAGCTGAAAGAAAGATCTTCACTGTCTAGGGCAGTGGTTTTCAAAGTGTGGTTCCCAGACCAGCAGCATCAGTATCACTTGAGCATTTGTTAGAAATGCAAAATCTCAGGTCCCACTTGGACTTACAGAATCAGAAATTCTGGGGTTGGGGCCCAGCTGATTATAATGCATGTTAAAATTTGAGAGCCACTGGTTCAGGGAAATTATTTTATTCTCTCTAACCATTATTTCTGCTTTTGTGAGTTTCAGCCCATGTCTCAACTCTTAAGTGCAAAATTAGCATCATCAAATAGTGGCAAAAGCTGGAGTCAAACAAAAACTAGTTTTGAGTCCAGTTTAATAAGCATTTAAGGCAAGTTCTCCTCCCTAAGTTACAGTTTTCCATTTCTAAAATGATATTAATAACATCTATCTCCATAGAAGGTATATTTTTAGAATTAAGATAATATGTAAAGTGCTTGGTATCACCTTGCCAGACTCCCAGGTGTTTGAGAAATTGCCTCCAGCAATTTTTCTTGTTTAGCAAAAAGCCCCCACCCCCTTCTATTCTCAACTTCTTTTTTTTTTTTTTTTTTTATGTATTTTGCTGTCTGTGTCTCTAGGCCTTTGTATTAGCTATTTCTCTTGGACACCCCTCTTTACCTCACTCACTTCTGTATATCCTTTAGATCCTGCTTATAGTTTACTTCCCTGGGAGGGGGCTTTCTCTAATCTCTACTCAGTCTCTGTGCTCACATAGCAGCCTGTATTTTTCCTGTCACTGCACATATCACAAGTTTTGGAATCACCTGTCTCCTACACTAACTTTATTAAAGGCAGATACAGTGTCTTGTATACTGCTATATTCTAGGGACCAGTAAAGTTCCTCTCACATTGTAGGAGCTAAAAATGTTGAATGAATGAATGGTGGCCTGTCATTATTGCTTCATCATCATCATCATCCAAGAGCAAGCTCTCTTCTCTGGCTTTTGTAGTTTTTGTGCTGCTTGTGATAATCATAAATAAATAGTATTGGGACCAGTGCCTGTTTTCTTTCTTTGAAAGCACATGCTTTGCCCTAGGCTAACATGGTAGTTTACTGAGCTGTTTCCTAACCACTGATCTCTCTGTATCGCAGGTGCCTTGAAAGAGCTGTGTGTCTTGGTGGATCAAGTTCATCATATGCATAACCAAAAATGGCCGCATCCTTCGGACCTCACCATGAGGTGAGTGGATGATTAGAAAGACGAAGAAGAGGGTAGAATTTGGCTATGAGAAGAATGTGGTAAGGAGTTGGGGTTATAATTGTTGTTTAATTCCAGAGATGGAAAAAGAAGCAGTACAGTAAAATGGAATAAGAACGGGACTGAAATACCAGCTTTGCAATTTTAACGAGCTGTATGATTTTGATCTAGTCACTTCACTTCTCTGGTCCTTGCATTGGTAAAATAAAGATGTTGGACTAATTGTTGCCAAAGGGGCTTTCTAGTTCTGAAACCTAGATCTTTGATGCAGTGTGATTTTACAGAGTTACTTTGATCCAGTTACCCAGAAACCTTGGAGTTATCTTTGACTCCTCTCTCTCTTACCCTGTATTCAGTCCATTAGCAAATCCTATAAACTCTACATACAAAATATATCCAAAGCCTGACCATTTTGCATCATTTTCACCTGGATTATTGCAAATTTCCTAGATAGTCTCCTTGCTTCTGCCTTGTCTGTTTACCGTTCTCAACTCAGCAGCCAAAGAGATTCTTTTAAAGCATAAATCAGATTTTCTTCTTTGCTCACAATTTTCCAGTGGCTTCCCATCTCACATCTTCCCATCTTCACGATTCCCCTACAAGAATCATGGTTAGTTCATCAACCTCATCTCCTACTACTCTATGCTTTGCTTACTCTGCTCCAGTCACACTGGCTTCTTTGATGTTTTTCAAATGTGCCAGGCACACTCCTACCTCAGGGCCTTTACACTCATTGTTTCCTCTGTAGTTGCCAAAATGACAGCAGTTCTTAGAAAGATCGTGTAGTGTAATGGTTATTATGTAAATTATGGAGTCAGATGTGAAATCAAATCCAGGCTCTTTTACTTACTGCACTGTATGACCTTGAGCAAGTTATTTAACCTGAGGCTCAGTTTCCTCAGTGTACAAGGAGTTAATGAGAGTGCTCTTCTCATAGGATGGTCTTTAGCATTGAATAAGATGAGTTGTTTAAGGTTGTTTAAGATGAGTTGTTCAATAAGTGCTTGCATATAGGGCTAGATAAATGTCAGATACTGTTATAATTATTTTCAACCCTGGATATTCCTCATAATCACCTGTGGAGATGTCTAAAAATACAGATGTCAGGGCTCTGACTCCAGGGATTCTAAATCATTGAGTAGGGGGCTAGAATCTAAATCATTAAAGCATCCCAGGTGGTTATTAGGAACAGCTGGAGTTGAGAATGGGCTAAAATTATTTCAATGGGTCCTGTTCAGAATCCCAACCCACCATGTGACTGAGGAGACTCTTAAGGAACTGAGCCTGTGCTATTAACTGTTAAGTCTCTAAGCTTGCAATGTGATACTCACATGATGACTTACCTTCTCTGGGAATTTTATTCTAAATTTAACTGCTATGTCCTGAGCAACCTTGAACTGTGTCAGACAGTGAGGTCCTGTTGGAGGGACAGGTCTGATGCAAGCAATGAAAAGTATAGATCCTGTTCTAAATAGAGGGAGAAATTATTTTTTTCTTACTTAAGCATTATTATACATTATACATTAAGTTTTCTTAGAACATTTGTGGGACGTATCACCATAATACCTGTATGGAAATTAGGTAGCTTCGGAAGTTGTTGGAAATAGCATTTATAATATGATTGTCATATAGATAAAATAGTATAAAATTGTTAGAATTGAAATATAAAATTAATATACTATTTCTTAAAGTAATGATATTTTTTAAATTGTAAACAAATAGTCATACCAACTGAATCTCTCGTCTTTTCCTGTTTTCACTTTCTCCCTCTCCTGATAGAAACTATGCTCGGTTCCGACAGAACCCTCTGGAAAGATACAGTCTGACTCAGTGGGTTGACAAGAACAAGCGAAGCCACCAACGGTTCCAGCATCTCCCCGATATCCAATATAGTCCATTTGTTACATCCCATCAGCAGTGAAGATCCCTATCCAGGGTCCTGTCCAGAGCTGCATCTCATCTTTTTCTGCTGTTTTGTGCTTTGCAGATTTTGAATTTTTATTTTTCCAAGATTTTTATGTAAAGAACTTGTCACCTTTTGGAAATGACCATTGCTGACTTGAAATTTTTTTGTATAAAGTCCTTCCTATTTGTGTGTGTATGTGTGTGTGTGTTTAAGCAGTGTTGACATAGTTTTGTTTTCTTTAAATTGAAGGTAGCCACCCCCTGAAAGCCAGCATTAAGCCAAAACACCCACCTTTTTGTAGAGGTGAAGTCTACGGGTGCCCAAAAGAAGTCATATTTTAATCTCTTGTAAGGAAGAAATTCTTACCAGGCTGCAAGCTAGTGTTGATTATTGTTCATGACTTAAATGGGTACAAGTCATTTTTAACAAGCCCTCTTACTTTATTTGGATTTCTGAATACCTATTAGCATTTTAAAGTTGGTAATCTAAGACATTTGAAGTAGGATGGAGCAGGACAAAGATCCTGTCGAAAAGACAAATTTAAAGTGTAAATCTTCACCTCTCCTTTTTTTTTTTTTTAACCTACTAGCTGCCTTTATTTTTTGGTTTTTATTTCATTCTTTATCAAATTTATTTTGCACAATAGTGTTTACAAATCTTATACATCTTTACTCTGACAGAAGACTGCTGACTAACCGCTGTTGATTTGTGGTCTTGTGACTGTCTTCTCTGCCTTTCTTCAAGGATTTTCCTTCTTTTCCCAGTGACTACTGTACTCTGTAGGGTTCTGCCAATATAGTCCTATATCTTGTTAGACATTGATATACCCCTCTTAAGAACAGTCTCCCTACTCTCTTTATTAAAGAGCCGCCCAGCCAGGGTCTTGACTTCAGGACAGGCCAGAAAGCCCAAGCTATTTAGGTGTCTTCAGTTTCATTTGCTGAACCCTAACTTCACTTATGAGGTGACGTGTTAGTCAGTGAGCCTCCATCCTGTGGAAGAGACTATGGAGATGCACTCTTTTGTCTCCATTATTCTTTTAGACCCTGGATGTTACCATCTTATTTGGTCAGACCTCAGATGCAGTTTCACAAAACTGTTAAAGTGGGTCTAATATAGTTGTGATTAATCCTGTGCACAAATGCATTACCTGATCTTAAAGTTTAGTGTTCTAACCCAAGTTGACAGACTGTGTGTGCAGTCATCTTAATGGATATCTTAGGATTTTGTTATTCTTTCTTCACAGACAGCTTTAGACATCTTTTGGGAGATTTTACAGTCCAGCATTCATGTTCTTGTTCATTCTCTGTGAAGGTTGTACGTAGTTGCTGTAGTATAGCATGTGATGTTGGGCTAGCTGCCTGTCTGGTTTTGTTTTTTCATCAACCCCATCTTTGAGTAACCCATCTAAAATATCCTACCGTGCTTTTGAAACTGACTTGGGAAAAGCTTGGTCATTCAAGCCACCAATAAATTTAGATGGATGTCCCTAAGTGTTTACTGTTTTATCCAGTCAAGGATTCTCTTTTCCTTGGACATTTAGTTTAATTCAGGGACCAAAATGCTAACAAGTTCTGTTTAACGGCAAGAGTCAAATCTTTTATTTCAGTTGTCATTTAGTCCATCAGTTACTTCTCCAGGTTTCCTTAACTTGGAGTGAACAAACAAACATTTACCTTTGGAATCATAACATAGATAAAATTAATTGTAGCTGGAGTAACTAGCGTTGCAGCTGTCTAGTTCCCCATAGATAACCCAAGGAGTGAAGGGGCAGCATGTTGCTTAGGCAAAAATCTTGAGACTCGTGTTCCTGCCTTCCTGGTACAGGAGGGTTTAAGTCTGAATGTGTAATGGGGGCATTGCCTTCGCCAAAGCAAATGAGTGACGGGTTAACTATAATATATGACAATCACACTTCCTCTTTGCTCAAGTAATTCTGTTTTTCCAAAGCTTTAGCAGCTTAATTAAATCTGTTGGACTGGGGGAGGAGAGCTGTTCTCTAGCGATTAACATGGTATTCTTTAAGGAGAAAAAAGCCAAAGAAAACTCATTATTGGGCATGCTCACCTTAAAGATGGTGGTGGGTAAAATCTGGAGTTTTAATCTGTTCTTAAAGCTGCATATCATATTTGGTGTTGGCCTCTAAGTCTAATATTTCATGTGGGATTCTTGCCGTATTATGTGCATTTAACTGCCTTCCTAGCTTTCTTCATCCATGATGACATTCTCACCACAGGGGTCTTGACAAAGCAGAGTAAAAATGTGCTGTTTATATAGTTTACTTGTAAGTAAAGAGCCTGAAATAACCTGTAGTTTTGTATCTAATGCAGACCCTGATTTACTTGAGTTGTCAGGATCAATTATGAAACTGAAGTTTGGTGCCTCCTCTTTATCATGTTTTTTTCCCTGTAGCAGTTGTGTTTAATGTCATTAAAAAGAAATAAAAGTTCTTGTCAGTGGCATATGTACTGTGGCCGTCTGTTGCGGGCTTTGAAAGGGAGGGTTCCTTACTCCTCTGCGTAGGTAGGGTAGCGGGGTATGGGAGGGAGTGGCAGTTAGTAGAATGTGGTGCTGGGAAGGCGAGGGTGCGTGCTCCCTATTCTTTTGAGGGTAAATTACAGTGTTGAGGAAGGCGTTCCAGCAGTTAAGCAATGTTGAGATTGACTGGGATTTGCAGCTACATATAGTGCATGTCAGGAGCCTGACATAGGGAGAGCCTGAAATATCACTGCTATGTTTTTGCAGAGGGGGAAGATGGCTCAGCCCCATCAGACAGGCATTGTCTTGCATTCCTTCCCATGTTTGTGTGGCTGACCTGTGTCTCTTGCCTCTCCAGAGCTGACTAAGAAGCTGAGCTATCCTGGGGCATTATCCTTTTGAAAAGGATGTGAAACCAGAACTGATAGTACAAAATTGATGCTTGTTCTTCTCCAGAAATTGACTGCTCCTAGAATCTGGAGTGAAGGTTGGATAAGTGTGGGGGTAGATGTGGGAGACAGCGTTCCTTAGATCTCTTGTGAACCTAAGCTTCTTAGACTTACCCCCCAGGAGCAAGAATGAAAGGGAAAGCAATAATAGCTCCTCACCTATATTAGCCAATGCTTTTAAATCTCAACTCCTGCTGAGAAAATAAATGGCAACATGTTTGAACAGGCTCTCTGTGCTGCTGTTGTATAAATTTTATCTAGTATATATTTTACAGTTCAGGCAAAAATTTCAATATAAATTTGCTAAATACTCAGCTATTCGATATTAGTCTGAGTCCCAGGTACTTCTGACCTGTATCTATTTTGTTCCTGTCAAGCAGATGATCCTTTTCTCAGTAATTGCTTATTTCCTTTATAGCAATGTTACTATAGGCTTCAAAGGTTTCAGAGACCAGGCTGGATGCTCTGAAATGGCGGTGTCCCTTGCCCTGAGTTTGTTTTGTTATGGAAAAGTGAGGAGAAAGAGACCTTCTCTAAAAGGAATGTGCTCATTCTCTAACCATTTCCTAAAACATTCTCCTGTTTTGAGTTTTTATGGGAAGAAAAATCCCCAAGCACCTAAAACTAAAAAGCTGAGTTTCCCACTCTTCTGCCGTCCTTTTCTAAGAGAAAATAATTATTCCTAAGCTGATTCTAAGATATGCTTACTCTATATGCCAGAGCATCTGTCCGCAGAAAAATTTCCACTTGTCACAGGAAGCATCAGCTGGTCAGTGGTGGAATTCCTTAATGAACAAGCTCCTGTTTTGTCAATCCTTTCCACCTGTCCCCCGCCTATGACAACTGGAACATGCTATAGACGGAAAATCTGACCCTCTCTACCACCCATTCATTGAGAAGGGGGTGGAATGTCATCATTTGGACAATCTTCAAAGCAGTCTGTGTGATAGTCTTAAAATGTGTCATTAAGGAACTAGTTGTATAAAAAGGTCTTCAATTTAGCTTCAAGTAACATTTGAAGGTTTAGGAATATAGAACTGATGGGGCCTGAGGCTGGAGCTGGGACAGGGACGAGTCAGGGGTGGGGTGGGGAGGACATCCCATTTATGTTAAACAATTTGTTTTTGGAGGCTACTTCTTTAAAGCAAAATCCAAAAACTGAAATAGGTTTAAAGAGGGTGAGAAAGAAAGTAGAAGTCTGAAACATCACATGCAGTTTGCTGAGATGTTACATATTTCTGTAAAGGGTGGAATAAGAGATCTTAAAAGTGGATTCTAGAGGAGGCCCATACTGAAAAGCTACGGGTGAGGGGGACGAGATTAGAAGAGTACTCTTGCCCCAGCAGAAACACGCCCCGGCCCTCCTCAGACCCTGGGGTGTCCCTCGTGTTCCTATAAGGAAGCCCCTTGGCTCCCAGTCTAGGTGGTGGGTGGGGTATGGGAATCCCCTGTTCTTACCTCTGTTTTTGACAGATAAAAAACCAAGTTCCCCACTCTACCTCACTCCAAGTAACTGGCCTGAGGTGTTAATGTGTATTACAAGGCAGAATCTCCTACCTGCATTCCTCCCACAGGCCTACCTTGGGAATGAGTCAGATTTCAGTCTCCAAAACCTGGCCTGAGCCCCTCCCAAGCTGTGAGGAATCTGTAGATCTAAGTGAGTGGTGAAGAAAGGACCACATCCCAAGTCATAGCTGTAGGGTTAATTGTACTACAGTTGATTCAGGAAAAGCTCAAAGAACTTGGGGGTACATGGAGGTAATTAAAGGGAATAGAGTTTTAGCCAGAAAAGTGTTGTTTGCTCCTCTCCCCTCATACTCTGATACCCTCAGCTGCTGTTACTATAGGCACAGGTGAGAGGAAGACAGGAAACTCCCATGAAGCAGTGCTCCCTGAACCCCACTGACAGCTATTTATACCTGATGCTGACTTGGGGACATCTCCATCATTTGGCACTACATGGTCACAGAGGGCCTGGGAAGTACCTCTCTGAGGTCTGGCTTAGAGTTCTGTGTGCTAATCGACTTTCCACTTTCCTACTCAGCCTCCAAGACCTGCTTCTGCTCTCAGAACCTTCCAGAACAGCCTACCCTAAGCCCCTGACATTTTCTCTCCAAGCTCTTGCTGGCTGTCTAACAGAAGTGTTCGTGGTGCCCCATTTACTGGTTTGCTCATTGGTTAATGGCATCATCACTCGACCTTTCAGCCTGCTGTTGGGATCATAACGATGTTCCTTTAACAGCCCAGAACTGAGCCATGGCAAGCAGCTTCTGCAGTTCCTCTTCACTTCCCTCCTCACCCCTGGGAGAACAGAACTGCATTCTTTTGGCAAGGGAAACACCCAACCCCATGGGGTTGGGGGGAAGCCTTTGTTTTAAAAACTCAGTACCAGCCTGCATACCTATGTGATGAGGCAGCCCGAGTTTGGTTGGGCGGGTAGGGGAGAGCTCAGTAATAGGATGATGGAGCAGCTATTTTCTCCTCCTACACGTGCACCCCCATCTGTTTGAGATTTCCCTTCCAACTCCAGCTTGGCTGGCAGGCATGTCCCTAAGAAGCTTCAGGCCAAAATGAAAAGAGAGAACTGACTAGCTGCCAACTGCCAGAAAAAGAGGGCAACATTTGGGCATTTACCAGAAGACAAGGATGTGCCTTTTCATTTGTCTTTTTATTTTACATTTAAAAAGTGGTTATTGCTCTAACTGGATCAGAGGTCAGGACCTCTCCCCTAAGGAGCCTTGGCCTCGCAGCCCCATTCAGCAGGGATGGAAGTCACAAGACAATGAGTGGAGCCTCATGCCCTCCCATGAAGAAGCCCTTAGTACTGCTGACATCAGCCTTTTACCTTGTCTCTCCTCCCGTGCTCCACACTCCGGCAAAGCAGAGTGGTGGCTGACCCAGCCATGAGAGCTCTTGTAGACCGAAAGGAAGGCCGGTTATTGGATGATGGCTTTCAGCTCTCTGGCTTGGGGGCTATTGCTCCTATTCGGTTCAACAGGTATTCACTGAGCACCTACTGTGTGCCAGGCTTGTGCTAGGCAAAGTCCTCCCATACTCCTGTCTTTAGCCACCACTGAAAGATGCGGAGGTCCATCTCTTCCCTTGCAGGCCATGACTTGTCAGTCCTAGGGAAGAGTCTGCCTTCCCTTATCAAGCACCATTTTTTTTTTTTTTTTTTTTTTTTTTTTTTTTTTTTTTTTTTTTTTTTTTTTTTTTTTTTTTTTTTTTTTTTTTTTTTTTTACCAGAAAGGGGCAGTGGAGAGAGAGACCTGTCACTTCACACCACGCAGGCTCTAGGGAAGGACATGAGGACCCTGGATAGCTTTCACAGAACCCTGGATGAGATGGCACGATATGGAGACCCCAGAGGCCAGGACTACTCTGACTGTGAATGGCTCAGGCCTGCCTTCCAGCAGCTTCTGCTCCATAGTAGGTGATTGAGCAGCCCCCAGGATGTCTGTCCCACGAGGACGTACTTTTCAGTTGTCCAAGTCAGCAGTGTTACAACTCCAAGAGACTTTTCCTAAAGAAACGGGGCCAATTCCTTCCAGGTGTCTTTCCTACTTTGTCTTCTTAAGACCCCAGACTGATGGCCTACAGTCAGAATAAGGGCCAAAGAAGACAGAGGATGCAGGCAACCAGCTCAGGGAATCCCTTTGCCCTCTGGAGTAAAGCCCTTCAATTGTGTTTTCCAAAAAAAAGACAAAACAGATAACATCTCACACACTCACAAAGTTGTGCATCACACCACAAACAAGTCCTTGATGGCTGGATCCAGAAAAGGCTTGATGGCAGCCATGACCCTGCCTGGCAGGCAGCCCCACGGCTTCCCTGATGATTCTTGGTCTGAAAGACAGCTTGAATCAGTCTAGGTGCCTGTCATCTCCCAGAAGCTTTGTGCATTTTCTCAGAGAGGAAGCCAGTCCAGGAGACAAGAGGAGGCAGAAAGAAGGCTGTGTCTCATGCAGCTTTGCCTTTTCCAGAATGGGGCCAGGTCTTTGAGTTTTGTGGCTTGTTTATTTTTTGCAGAATTTGGGTTTGTAGTTCAGCCTCCTTCACCAGACTAGGACATAGGAGAGGGGGATAATGTGCAGCTAGCTGTGCCTCCCCCTCCACTGCAGTCCTCCCTCTCCCTTGCCCGTGGACCTGGGGACCAGCAGAGAAGAAAAATGAAATCCTTCTCCCTGCAGACAGGCAGTCACGCTTCGATGATGTTCACCGAGGGCTTGTTTGGAAACTGGGAGGGGAAAAAATAAGAGAAGTGGCCAGGGCTATTTGAACAGACTTCTTGCAAGGCTGGAAATAGCGAGAGGGCACGAAAAGGGAGGGCTGCAGCCTGAAAGCCAGGCTCTTGTCCCGAGAGGAAGGAAAGGAGTAGCCCTGCCTGGATGTCTTGTCTCTGCCTTCTCAAACCCAGCCTTCGGCCTCACTCAGCTGAACGGCCAAAACCGGGTCCTGGACCTATGGCCCCTGGTACCCGGTCCACCCCCAGCAGAGCCATCCCGCTGGCTGGTTCTCACATCCTGCAGATCTGCCTCTGAGCGCAGCCTCAGCCACTGGCACTGTTGAGGTGCTTCTGGAGATGGGGGTTAATAAGAGGCTTCAGGAAAATGTGCCAGAAAGAGAGAAGCCAAGAGAGAGAACAGTAAGCCAAAGGGTATAAGGAGATGAAGGGAGGAGGAAATGTAGAGAGGACCAGATGTTTGTTGGATAATCATCGTCAGAACCATGAGATCCTCATATTCTCTACTGTCTTTCTTCTGAGCTGCTCAGAGCAAGCACTGAAAGGTGTCATATCTGTTTCACGGGAGAGGAAATGAAGGTACAAAGAGGTGAAGCACCTGCCCAAGGTCACACAGCACAGCAGGAGCAGAAATGAGCTCAGAAGCCCCTCTCTTCCTGTCCCACACCAAGAATTCTGCCCTCCCCATCCACTGCTTTTTTTTTTTTTTTTTAACTCGTACTGGCCCCTGGCACCCTGTAAAAGGAGAGGATCCAAAATCAATTTGCAGTGTCCCCTGGGTCACACAGGCAGCAGCCAAATTTGGCTCTGCCCAGCTGTAGCCATGCCAAGCCCTGAGCTGACCCCTTCTGCAGTCCAGGGACTCCCAGTGCATGAGCCATGGGGCTACCCACCCAGGCCCAAGTCTTGCCCTCACCTTGCTGCGGAGAAGACCCCCGCCTTGGTGCTCTGGTGTGCTGGTTTCTGACGCACTCTTGGTTTTTTCCTTGTTGTTATTGGGTTCATTGTCCTTGATAATGTCATACTGGCGGCAGAAGAGGGCGATGACGCCTGGGGGGACAAGGGAGAGCAGTCAGGGTCCTTGCCGGCCTGCTTCATTCCCATGAGCACTTGCTGTTAGGTACTGAGCTCCAGACGGTCTCTCACCTGCACTACTGCAACGGTCTGCCTCAGGGCTCTGGCTCTTGCATCAACCTGTCCCCTTACCAGCCATCCCTTTCACTGCTGCTAGGTCGGTCTTCCTGCGCACGACATGTTCTGGCTCACATAATCCTCACAGCACTACAAGGGTCCCTATTACTATCATCCCCAGGTTAGGAGTGAGGAACCTTGACTCAGAGCTTAGATAACTTACTCAAGGTCGCTCAGGGGTGGAGCTGGGATGTGCACTCCAGGGCCTGTACTCTGCTAAATGTTACTGTTATCAAACCAATAATACATGAAAGTCAGTATTAAGGCAGCCACCTCTAATCTTGTAGGTGTTTCTCCCATTTTTACATCTATACTTGATTTGATAATGCTATATCTGTTTTAGATGTTATCTGTTGACTTCCTACCATGGTAGATAAAGCCTAACAACTTCCCCCTGCTTCCTTCCCCATCATCCTAACAGAATTACATCACAATTTTGGGTTAATTCACTATGTTTATATTGTTATGATTATGTAAATACTACATGTGCTAAGTCTAATAAGGTACCATAAGCAAACCTCCTTTTCTTGTTTTGTTTTTTTTTTTCAAGTGCCTGTTTTTCTTTTTGGAATATTGTTTTCTAAATGCTTCTACAGCAGAGCCTGCCCTCTCGACCACCATGCTAATACAACTTTGGCATGGTGTTCAAGTCCCTCGAAACAGACTCCAGTCCACTTTACAGTCTCGCCATCCTTTACTCCCCTACTTTCTACCTTCTCTCTCTCTCTCTTTACATCTGAACTGAGCCAAACTGAGCTTAATTTGTTTCTTGAACACACCGTACCCATAACACCCTTTCTTTTTTTTTGGCTGCCTGGTGAACTTCTATTCATCCCCCAAAGTTCAAATCCCATGTTTACCTCCTCTTTGTGTTTTTCCCGATTTCTACTCCTAGCCCCAGAATTAATTCCCTCTCTTCTGCTCCCATACATGCTATTAGAGCACTCATCACATTGAATTATAGTTAAGTACAGGCCTGGCTTCCCCCGGACTGAGCTACTTGCAAGCACAGAGCTCTTCTTAGAGATAGCTGTGGCACTATCTGGAATGAAGTGGCTGTTCAGAAAATGCTGGTGAGTACAAAAATGAAATCTGATCTTTATCCTCAGGGAGCTCAAAGACAGACAAGTGGAAAAAGAGAGAAATAAGCCCAACTAACTTATCTAAGAAGGGCTAAAGAGAGGGGCAAGGAGTGTATCGTAGGGGCATCGAGGCAGGAGGGCCGACACTCTAATGAATGGATTGGGGAGGTTTTACAGAGGCCATCTCAGAGCCAGTCCAGGAGGACGAGGAGGTTCAGAGCGTGTCCCAAGCCTGAGCTGCCCAAGCCTGAAGTACCTGGAGGCACAAGATCCCAGCAGAGGGAGGAGAGGCTGCTGCGCCATGGCCGGGAGGCAAAGGGGCCGTGCATGTGTCACCACCAGGAGGCTGAGGGAAGGGAAGGGCAAGTACTCATATAATCCTACAAAGCAGCTCTCAAGATGTTATTTTATTTTTTTGTGAGGGCTGAGTTAGGGAAGGGTTCAGATCTGGTCCCCAGAACTGTCCCAGGCAGGACTTAAGAGACTTCTGACCTCTTAGCTACCTCCAAGCCTCTTACCCTTCATTTCTGTGAGAGAAGGGGTCTGGTCAGGGTCCTCCATTTCCCAGAGGTTAAGTGAAGAAGGGCTTGGAGGCCAGACTCACCGGCCCACATGAACAGGACCACGACGATGATCAGCACCTCGCCCGTCCGCAGCTGCTGGTTCCTCCCCATCTCCTTCATGGTCACCTCATCTGCAGGGAGAGAGACACTAGGTCACCGCTCCTTTCTTCCCCTAGCCACACCTCTGTGACCATGCCCAAAATATTAGTGCTTATTTCTATAGGTGCCCACACATCTGACAAAACAAGGTTCGAGAACATGCTGATGGCTACTTGGGATGGCAGTGATAAGATTTAATCCGAAATTGAGACTTTATATATCCATTGTCTTAAGTCGCTTGAGCAAAGGGAAAGATGGCAGAGTCAGTTCTTTCCTCAACCACCACTTCTTTGGTCTTGACCGGCCCTCACCCCCACCCCGTCCCTTCCTAACAGTGCCCTTGCCTTTGTTCTTGGAGGCCATCTTCTCAGCCTCTCGCGGAGTCTTGAAGAGCACTGGCTCGCTAGCCGGACTCTGGCCCTGAATGGAGATGGCCTGCACGTGCACAATGTACTCCGTGTCCTCCTCCAGGTCCCACAGGGCGCACGAGCGAGTGGTGGTGTTCACCTCCTGGATGAAGCGCAGCATCCGAACGTCCTTCTTCTGCCAAGGCAAGAGCCAGCCCACTGTTTTCAGTGCCCAGTCACCACCCCTCCCTGTCACCTCTCCAGTGGAGATAATTGATTCACCTGGCTCCAACACTAAGCCCTTTGCATACATAATCTTACTTATGCATCCCATCTTCTCTGCAGGTGTCATCATCTCCATTTTACAGATGAGGAGACAGGTCGGAATGGTTAGGGAAGTTGCCCAAAGCCATATATCTAGTGAGAACTGGGGCCAGGTCCAAAACTCCGGTCTGTTTAAGATCAAAAGCTTACTCTTAAATCTCAGGTTCCAAACAAAGGCTCTGGAGCCCTCCCTCACTGATTCCCTCTGGGGTCCCCTTTTTAAGCCATATGTGCCATTTCCTGCTTATCTCTCTTGTTTCTTGTTCTTTTTCCTTTCTCTTTCCACACGCCCCCTCCTCCCCCATCCACCACTACTATACTGATGTGTTCTTCCCTCCCAGAGGCATACCTGCTGAGAGATGGCAAATCCGATGACAACCTCATCCTCCAGGACATCCCAGCTCACCACCGCTGAGTTGGCTTTGAGGTGCCTGACAGTGACGTTCACTGGAGCTGAGGGGCTGTCTGGGGGTGGGGAGGCACCTGAGCCTGAGCACCCCCTGCTGCCAGGCCCAGGCCCACAGTCTGACAAGTGGAAACCTGGGCAAGGCCATGCAGCCGGGGAAGGAAAAAACCAAGGCCTCCATGAAGAGGGGCAGTGGGGTCACACGGCCTCTGTATCTCCCAAGGGGCAGGTGCTGACAGGGGGATGATCTGGCCGGAGTAGCACCCCTCACCCCACAGATGAGTGGATGCGAGGCCCAAGAGAAGACAAAGCCAGACGTGGAGCCAAAGATAGAGGGACACAGACAGGTGGCGGCAGACACAGATCCAGAGAACAGACAAGTGGGGTATCAGAGATAGACTCAGAGATGGAAGCGGCGAGAGAGCACTGAGCCGCAGAGAGATGAGCACAGGGAGAGATGAAGGAGGCAACAGCAATCAGAAAGCAAGAGACAGGGCCTCAGGAGAGGCGGGGTGAGGATGAGGCCAGACACTCACTGCACCGGGCTCAGGGGGCCACCCGCAACCACCCTGTGACCCCGGTGCCAGTCCCCATCCCCCTGACACATGTTCACGCACACTGGGACCCCATTCTGCTCTGACTTGGCAGAGTTGGCCTGCAGAAGCTTTGGGGACAGGGAGGGAGGCCCAAGATGGGGGTACTGGTGTCCTCAGCTGCTCCCCGGGCCAGAGAAGGAAGCTAAGGCACCTGAGGCAAAAGCCTGGGGTCAGGGCAATGGGATGAGGGAACTGAGTATTACAAGACCCTAGACCCAACAGCAGGAA